CTAACATTTAAAAAAAAGAAAACTAACATTATATATGAAGCTTTTCAACAGGACATTTTTTTTTTCTTTTTTCCATTTATATTAGTTGGAGGCTAATTACTTTACATCATTACAGTAGTTTTTGTTATACATTGAAATGAATTAGCCATGGATTTACATGTATTCCCCATCCCAGTCCCCCCTCCCACCTCCCTCTCCACCCGATCCCTCTGGGTCTTCCCAGTGCACCAAGCCCGAGCACTTGTCTCATGTACCCAACCTGGGCTGGTTATCTGTTTCACCCTAGATAATATACACGTTTCAATGCTTCAACAGGACATTTAAAAAGACAGTTCATGTTCACACTATTTACCTACACTTTCATATTAACAACTGAAGCTTCTCATACTTAAAGTAGCAGTTTGGAAGTAAAGCAAGCAATAACTGATACATAACCTAACCTATCAACCTGTGTCTCTAAACCACTGGCATAATAAAATTTACATCACTTTAACACTTAAATTCCATGAAATGTCAGTAGGTCCAGATAACCTTAAAGGCATTTTTGTTTAAGAAGATATTTATCATAACAGATTAAAAATGAAACTAGTAATTCCCAGTGATATTATTGATATAGATCAATACCAACTTTTTTCAAACTATATTTTCAACTCAATATCTCAGCTGAGTGACTGACCGCTCATTCCCCAGCCCACCCCCTAATTTTTGTTTTCAGTTGTATCAACCATCACACTGAATCATCCCCTGATGATACAGTGTGACAGCAGGAGCTACTCTGGACAGCCAAGGACTGGATTCTGCTGCCGGCCAATAGCAACAGTTCAGGCCAGATCTGTTTGATTCACTGACCTTCAGTATACTCACCAGTAAAACAGAACTGGTTAACCTACATGACTCTATGCTTTATAATTCTATAAATAATGAGCATTTTGTTTTAACCAACTTAGATTTGTCTTTGAGATTACTATCAAGTGACCGTAACAGCAGCACACATAAAGAGTAAACCTGAAAAAAAAAAAAAGAGTAAACCTGAAGAACCCCCCCCCCCAACACTCTCATGGCTTTGTATGCTCTCATTTTCACATTCAAAGAGGAAATCCCCTTTCCCCCAAAAAAGTATGTTGTATCTGAAAACAATCCAAGATATATCCAAGTAATATTTTGACCACACAAGCTTCTGGGATAGAAAAAAATGGTAGAAGAGTAAAAATATTCAAGGAAAACCACCACCACAAGAATACCAAAATAAAAAACAGATGTTCTACATACAGTTATTGCTACATGACAGAAGTTCTGGTAGCTTTTCAATACTCCTAAGAAGTTCTGAGAGAAAAACAATGTTTTCTTAACCTTCTCTCTGAATGTACTTTTGCATCCTGAAACCTGAAAAGGACAAAGTATCAGACAATCTATAGACTGAGTTCTTTGTGCACATAACTGATCAGGTCAACTTTATACTTCTATAGCACTTAGCAACATGCCCTGAACATGAGGCATGCCACACCAGCTGAACAAGTGAATGAACGACACACAAGATAAGTCCATACATAATAAATTCTGACCAACCTTTACTACTACTTTGTACCATGTTCCAGTAAAACTCAATCTCTGAAGTAAATGGACACATGGAAATAACTAAGTATTCGAGATCGCTATCATCCTCAAACATCAGTTAAGAATTTGAAATTTCAATTAAGACATTACAAAATACAATTAAAACTGAGTAACAAACACAAAAAAAAACTGAGTAAGAAATAGCCTGACATTAACCTACATCAATCCCTGGCTTATTTAAAAGCCCCTACTTTCTCCTGAAGATAGAAATGGCAAAACAAACTCTCCAATCCACAAAATTTAGAAGAAAAAAAAGCTTAGGAAAACTTGATTAATCTATACTTACTTAGCCTTGGAACAAATTTTACTCAATTAAATTCAAAGAAAGATAGCTAATTTTTAGCATTCTACGCTTTTTCAAAAAAATAGGCGGGCAGGCCAAACTCTTACGTTTTACTATATGATGATGAAGTCCCACAAGACAACGAGTTAAAAATATTTATTCCTCAGAAGTCATGAAGAGAATCACAGCTACAGAGACCTGTGACAGCAGATCAGCAGGTGTACTCCATAAGTTGTAAGTTGTAACTGTGAACACAATTTTCTAATTAGAATACAATGTTCATCCACTCAGTAAACATTTGCAATGTCAATACCCTCTGGCAGTGCCTTAAAGTCAGAGAAGGGCTTCTCCTGTCCTCAAGAGGAGATAAGACAAGTAGGTACCTAAATGCAAGGCAGAAAGAATAAATGCCATAAGAGATGCACAGATAAAGCATTTCAGAAATGAAGAGGGAGCTGTTACTCTCACACAGAAATATAACCTTTTTGATCTTTGTAAAGCAATTTCACAACTATTAACTCTCCTAGGCTCACAACAGCAACCTAGAAGAGCGGATATTTTCCTACTAGCATAGATGAGGAAACTGAAGCAGAGAAAGGTTGATCCTGTTCCAAAATGACACATAGTTAAAGACAAATCAGGACTCTTTGTATTATATTTTCTCTGGGGGAGGAGTTCAACATATGGCAAGACTTTCATAAAAGGAAAGAGTATTTTCGTATTCCAAGTAATCATATCCTTATGTATGTATGTGCATATTATTTATATACATGTGTGTGTTAACCTTGATTTCCATTAACAGGTGTGCTTAAAGCATAGCAAAGCAACTGTGTACTATAAATATTAAAACAAACTTCCACTGGATTTTAACAGAATAAGCAAATAAAAACAGTACCTCTTTCTGCAACAACTTGTGAAATAATTAGATTTCTTCCGTAATTTTTACCCATGTCTAAACAATATTCTAAAATTGGTCTGCTCCTGAGACCAGGCACGTTGGTTCTGCCAATAATTATCTTTAAGGATACATCACATTTTCGAAAACTATTAAAAATTAAATAATGCCATCAACTCTTCAGCTATCCAAGGGAGAGTCACGTGTGACGCATCAGCAGCAGCTATTGATCAAGACATGCTGAACGAATGAATGAATTATTTGCAGGCATTTTAAAATCCCTGGCCTGTTGCTCTCTACGCAACGTTCTGCCTCCCATCACTGCCTCACCAGGGTGCACGCAAGGCATGTAAATTTCAGTACAATTAGGATCTAATTAGGGAAGCAAATCTGATGCAGGTGAAAATGCTAATCCCAAAGATTAGAATTACCCACACCGCCAAACCATGGTTAACTCTGTAGAAGCGGGACTGGAGCCTGCAACATCGGTGAAAAGAAAACTGACACTTTGTGAGCAAATACTTTTACTAAATGTCACTTATGCCCACTCGCACCTTTAATATACGACTATACCCCTAATCCGGTTAATTCAAAGAATTCTGTCTCCTCGCCACTAAGACTGACCTCTCAATGATAGTTTCTTGAATCCCTCTCCCCTCCAAAAGAGAATCCACGTTAAACAGCCACGGTAAAAGCCAGAAGGTACCGGGTTCCCATCTCCGCCGTCTCCCCCGCCCTCCCTTCGCCATTACACCCCAAGCGGTTTGGTCGCAAAGGTGAACTAGTTTGCTCTTCACGCACTTGTCCACCGCTGTCACCCACCCTGACCCCTTGCACACTCGCGGGCGGCCACCAACTCCGCCCCGGAGGAAGCGCGGGCCACCACCTGCGCCGGCCCCACCCGCCGCCCCGGTCCGCGCCGCCCCGGCCCCCGCAGCCCCCTCCCCGCAGGACACCCCGGGCGCCCCGGCCCGGCCGCAGCCCATTCTTCCTCCAAACTCCAGCAACCTCCCCCACTCGCCCGGCCCCGCTCCCCGCCGCGCCCCGCTGGCCCGGCCGCTGAGGGCTAGAAGCCCCTGGTTGGGCGGGTCCCAAGACGCCGGCCCCGCGACGTCCCTCGCCGGCTGGGAAGGCGCCCCGGCGGCGAGCGCCCCCGAAGTCCTCGGCGGCCCCGAGTGAGCGGCGGCCCGGAGGCCGGGCTGCGGGCGCCAGGCCTACACTCACCGGGAGCGGGCGGAGCGCGGCGGCCGGCGCGGCCCCGGGCCTGAGGGGCAGGACGCAGCCCCGCGCGCGGCCCTGCCCGGGCCCTGGTCGGCGCGGCGAGCCGGGCGCTCACTCCAGCCGCCGCCGCCGTCGCCGCTGCTTCGCCACCTCGACCGCCATCTTGACTCAACCCCTCTCCTCCCCCCCGGCCCGGCGACCGCGGCTGAGGCGGCTCCGGCGCCGGCTCCTCCTCCTTCCGGAGGCTGGCAGGCCGACTCCCTCCGCTGGCCGAGCTTCCCGGGTTGCCCGCCTCCGGCCCCCTGGCATCCCGCCTCGGTCCGGCAGCGGCGGCGGCCCCAGCGCGGAGCCATCGCGCCCGGGTCTCCCCGCGGGCGTGGGAAAAGAAAGGACGCGGGCCTTCGAGCTCGCGCTGCCGGGGGCGCGCGGCCACCCACCCGCTGCTTCCCGGGCTCGGGCTGCGTTCGCAGCGGGCCTCCCTGAAACTCCGCGCGCGGCCGACCCGCCCGTGATGCCAGCCCTCCCTCCAAGGATCCCGGGCCCCCGCGCCCGCCAAGTGCGCTCTCGGCCTCACGCTTCCAAGGAACTGACCAGACGGGCCTCGCCACCGCATACTGTTCCTTTAGAGAAGCCGCCACTCCACATCCCACAATTAGGGAGTAGAAACCCAGTCGGTGTCCACCCGGATAGTTACGAGAAAGCCTGGGTTTTAAAGAAACGAGTGATAAAAAGGTGACGTGAAGAGAATTCGCACTCAAGAGGTTGGGGGTTCTTTTCAGACGCTTCCCCTTAGGTACTGTGTGGACAGCAAGGGGGTCGCTCAGCTCTAAAGCGAAGCAGGCACGAGAGCTCGTAAAGGCCGCGTAAAGTAGCGAGAGCCCGTGAAGAGGGCCTGGGAGGCGTCCGTGTCCGAGCACACAGCCCTACGCTTAAAGCCTCCGGCCGTTGGAGAGGCCAGCAGGACGGACTTACACTCGGAACGGGGTTTCCGCGAGCTCGGTTTTCCCGCCGGAGTCGGCCCGGCGGCAGCCTCCCGGTCTGCGCAGGCGCAGTTTCTCTTCTGGGGGCATGGAAGTGGCGGTGCCGCTTCTGTGTCTGGCGGCGACTGTCCTGGTATGGGGCGTCCTCTGGGTTTGGGACTCCTGGGAGCGAGTGACGAGGCCGGAGCAGGCTGGCCTGCCCGGAGGCGGAAGCCGGACACTTCTGGTGACGGCGCACCCCGACGATGAAGCCATGTTCTTTGCTCCCACTATTCTAGGCTTGGCCCGCCTGCGGCACCAGGTGTTCCTGCTCTGCTTCTCCGCAGGTAGGAGGCTGTAGGCGGGGCGCGGGGACTCGGGGCGGCGGAGATAATTCAGGCGCCGGCCTGTTTCAGTTGGCTTCTTACCGAAGAGGTTTCTGTTGTAGGCGCCAGGCGAATGAACACACTGAAGGACCCTTCCCAGGGCCGCAAATCCTTGATCCCATCCGGTACGGCTTCCCGGGGTTGGGCACGTGGGCCGCGTGTGAGCCCGGCTCCCCGCTGCCGCGATTGGAGAGCACGAGAGAACTGCTCCCATTTGCTTCCGAAAAATACCCACATCTGCGCTGGGAACTGTGGCTGTAATCAGTATTCTGTGGAACCTTTTCATTCACAGGAGGGCAGAGAATAACGACCGAACAGAATCTAGGCCGTGTCATGACTGCTCAACTCTTCATTCTGTGCTAGAAACATGTACATGTCAGACCGAGGGGAGAGCCCATTAGACTAGAAAGTAATCTTACAGGTCGTTTTAGCGTTCAACTCGACCCAGCTTTCACTGAAGGGACCGTTCAAAGAATAAATCCTCCTTTACCGTACAGAAAAGATGGGATGAGAAAACAGAAATTGACCATTATGCTGGATTATGGTGATAATTGCAAAGCTGTATAAATGAAATAATTAAACTGTACATATACAGTGGGTGAATTTGATGGTATGTAAAAACCATACCTCAATAAAGCTGGTTGTAACATGCCCAATGAGCTCTTTTCCCATTTGGTTGTGTTTCATACCAGTTCTTCTTCTATACAGATTTTTCTCAATAAGCATGTTCATACGATTTATCACAGAATATTACTTTGTCATTAATTTCTTAAATATTAAAAACTTATGTGTAATAATCACTATTAAAATGGGCAGGGAACTTCCCTGGCAGTCCAGTGGTTAAGACTACAGGCTGCCAATGTAGGGGGTACCGGTTCCATCTCTGGTCAAGGAGCTCAGGTCCCACATGCCAAACAGCACGGCCAAGAGATTAAATAATAATATATGGCCAAAACCCAGAACACTAACATCCCTAAATGCTGGTGAGGATGTGGAGCAAAGGAATTCTCAGTCACTGTTGATGGGAACACAAAATGGTGCAGTCACTTTGTGAGGAAGTTAGTTTGGTAATCTCTTACAAACCTAAACATACACTTATCAGCAATAACCCTCCTTGGTATTTATCCAAAGAAAGTGAAAACATGTTCACCCAAAAACCTACACCCGGATGTTTATGGCAGCTTTATTCGTAATTGCCAAAACATGAAAATAACCAAGATGTCCTTCAGTAGGTGTGTGGATAGACTGTGGTCCATTCAGACAGCGGAATATTAGAGCTAAAAAGACATGAGCTGTCAAGCCATGAGAAGAAACAATCTTACATGCATATTACGAAATGAAAGAAGCCAATGTGAAAAGGCTTTGTTCTGTATGACTCCACCTATGTGAAAATCTAGAAAAGGCAAAACTGTGGAGAGAGTAAAAAGTGGGGATCAGGGGCTGGGATGGGAGAAAGGATGTATAGACAGAGCACAGAGGATTCTTAGGGCAGTGAAAATACTCTGATACTATAATGATGGATACATGTCATTATATGCATGCTTATTCACTAAGTCGTGTCTGACTTTTTGCAACCCCAGGGACTGTGGCCCGACAGGCTCCTTGGTCCATGGAATATTCCAGGCAAGAATAGTGGAGTGGGTTGTCATACTTTTCTCCAAACCCACAGACTGTACAAGACCAGGAGTGAACCTAATGGAAAGTGTGGACTTCGGGTGATGATGGTGCGTCAGTGGAGGTTCACCAGTTGTAACACATGTACCATCCAGTGGGGGATGCTGATCATGGGGAGACTGTGGATGTGTGGGGCAGGGAGTCTATGGGAACTCTCTGTATCTTACCTTCAAGTTTGCTGTGAGCCTAAAACTTCTCTTAAAAAAGTCTTGACTAATTTTTTTCATTAAAAAAAAGTCTATCTGCTAGGATGTATACTCTGCCCTGGGAATAAAACTGAAAACAAGTTAGGTAATGAACACATCCTTCTGAAACTTGTAATTTAAACATTTATCCATATTGATTAGAACTAGGTATATAGCCTTTTAAATGGTTTCATAGGGATAAACCTTAATTTAATTTGTTGTTTAGTCGCTAAGTTGTGACCAACTCTTTTGCAACCCCATGGACTGTAGCCCACCAGGCTCCTCAGTCCATGGGATTTCCCAGGCAAGAATACTGGAGTCAGTTGCCATTTCCTTCTCCAGGGGATCTCCCAACCCAGGGATAAAGCCCTCGTCTCTGGCATTGAGCCACCAGGGAAGCCTTTTAGTTAGTCATCCCTTCAATTCAGTTTAGTCACTCAGTCGTGTCCAACTCTTTTCGACCCCATGGACTGCAGCACGCCAGGCTTCCCTGTCCATCACCAACTCCTGGAGCTTACTTAAACTCATGTCCATCAAGTCGCTGATGCCGTCCAACCATCTCATCCTCTGTTGTCCCTTTCTCCTGCCTTCATCAAGGTCTTTTCCAATGAGTCGGTTCTTCACATCAGGTGGTCAAAGTATTGGAGTTTCAGCTTCAGCATCAGTCCTTCCAGTGAATATTCAGGACTGATTTCCTTTAGGATTGACTGGTTGGATCCCCTTACAGTCCAAGGGACTCTCAAGAGTTTTCTCCAACACTAATACCACAGTTGAAAAGCATCAATTCTTTGGTGCTCAGCTTTCTTTATGGTCCAACTCTCACATTCATACATGACTACTGGAAAAACCATAACTTTGACTAGACAAACCTTTGTTGGCAAAGTAATGTCTCTGCTTTTTAATATACTGTCTAGGTTGGTCATAGCTTTTCTTCCAAGGAGCAAGCGTCTTCTAATTTCATGGCTGCGGTCGCCATCTGCAGTGATTTTGGAGTCCAGGAAAATAAAGTGTGTCAGCTGTTTCTGTTGTTTCCCATCTATTTGCCATGAAGTGATGGGATGCCATGATCTTATTTTTCTGAATGTTGAGTTTTAAGCCCACTTTTTCACTCTCCTCTTTCACTGTCATCAAGAGGCTCTTTAGTTCTTCACTTTCTGCCATAAGGGTGGTGTCACTGGCATATCTGAGGTTATTGACATTTCTCCTGGCAGTCTTGACTCCAGCTTGTGCTTCATCCAGCCCAGCATTTTGCATGATGTACTCTGCATATAAGTTAAATAAGCAGGGTGAAAGTGTACAGCCTTGATGTACTCCTTTCCCGATTTGGAACCAGTCTGTTGTTCCATGCCCAGTTTTATTGCTTCTTGACCTTCATATAGATTTCTCAGGAGGCAGGTCAAGTGGTCTGGTATTCACACCTCTTTAAGAATTTTCCAGTTTGTTGTGATCCACACAGTCAAAGGCTTTGGCATAGTCAATAAAGCAGAAGTAGATGTTTTTCTAGAACTCCCTTGTTTTTTCGATGATCCAACAGATATTGGCAATTTGATCTCTGGTTCCTTATTATTGTATGTATATTTAGAAGTCCCCTCCCCCCCAGTTTATCTCTATTACAAATAACCTCTTTATTTATACTTCTTGCTTTGATTAACATTTTTTTCCCTCAAAAAAAAATTTTTATTGGCAGTAAGATTAAACCATTTTTCAAATATAATGAGAATTTCAATCTAAGCACTTTTCTCAGTTCTATTAAAGATATTAATTGCAAATAGATGCAAGTAATGGTCTTTTTTTTAAATTTTATGTTTTTATCAACTATGGAAATCAAATTAATACAAGCAAAATTTTGAGATGGTTGAATTTTATTTACAAAGTATTATAGGTACAGGGGATTCTTTACTAAATTTCTTTTTGTTTTCTAGTAGGTTGAGGCTGAAAATTAAAATTTTTTCAAATGAAAAACTATAAGACCTACCAGAACTCTTGACACATGCTGATATATCAGTATCTATATTGTTGTCTTTCATTGTTTCCTCTGAATCTAACTTTCTTTGTAATTTTTAAAATTACTTTTTAAAATCCCCAACTCACTGAAAAAATGTATGGATTAAACATTAGCCACCTTCCTGATTTATTCTAACCTGAAAAGCAGGAAGTTAATAACTTGTTATATAACATAATGAAAGCTGTAACTGCATGACAGAGAAAATACTGTGGGCCCAAAATGAGGAAAAGCATGAATTTTCTTTTCACAGAGTTGGATTAAGGAAACTTTGAAAAGCTTTTCTTTTGAGCTGGTCTTTTAAAATAGGACTTAGGTTCACAGGAAGTAGGGCAAGTCATTCAGGGCAGTCATTCAAAGAAATAGTAAAAACATAAGTAAGTCTGGGATTCATTTGAATGATTCATTCTAACTACATCTCCAGTTCTAAGGGGTAGGGAGAAGCAGGGAAAAAAATGTATCTTATTAGTGGCTCATAGAATCCTCTCAGCAATCCTATGATAGGCATTAAATACACAAAATGTTACACATGTATATAATTTGTTCCCCCTCCCCACTTTTTTTAACTATGGAAACTAAATCACAAAAAAGTAACTTAACCAAAGTGAAGAGCTAGGATATGGAGGAACCAGAACCCTGTGGGTCTTTCCAGTTCTGAGCCATTACACCCAATCTGCCTCACACATCTTGTTGTTCTGACAGTTAAGGAATAACTCATTTGATGCCCAGTGTATCTTCCAAGAAATACCAGTTCATCAAGCTGCTATTTTAAAAAGTTAATAACTTGACGCGACAAGTTTAGGGAACTTAATCAGATATGCTATCCCCAACCCCCCCACTTTAAAGCTGTATAGTCCTTGTTAGACTGTCAACATCTCGGTGAAGTCTTGCTATAAAAAGTCCTATTTAATTTTGTTTAGTTCAGCATTTCTCCAGTTTATGTAACCACTGAGCTGTTTCTGTGCTCAAGTCCGCCTGACTCCTTGAGGCCCCACGGACTGTAGCCCCCCAGTCTCCTCTCTCCATGCAATTCTCCACGCAAGAATACTGGAGTGGGTTGCCATGTCCTCCTCCAGGGGATCTTCCCAGCCAGTCTCTTGTGTCTCCCTCATTGACAAGTGGATCCTTTACCACTAGCGCCACCTGGGAAGCCCAACCATTGAGATATCTATTCACATACAAGTGGAAGAAAGCCACAGTAGATAGTAGGGTGTGGTAAAATACATTTGGTGGAGAATTAGCACAGACAGTTCTGTATTTTAGAAAGCTCGTTTCAGCAGCATATGGAGGACAGTTTGGAGGGAAAGACTGGTTCTCCCCATCAGGAAGTGGAGCCTGTTTCTCTCCTTGAACCTGGATATGACTTGTGACACCCTACTGTCTGCTCACAGGGTGCACTGTTCTAGAGGGTCCCAGCCACTTACTCCACCGAAGTGCCTGCATGTTTACCAGACCTAATGAAAACGCCTAAAATGCTTTCTGACTTCAACTCCCTAACCCCTTCTGTGTTCCTCAGTTCAAACATAAAGCAATAAAACCAGCTCTCCAAGCAGTTTCTCACAACCAATAATCAGAGTCTAATGTGTTCAGCCTCAGACATTAGGAATCACATCACTAGTGTGAGTTAGGCTCTTAGTACCAAAGATAAGTAAGCTTGAGACAAAATGGGAGAGGGGAACCTAAAATATGATGACTGTCACAAAATTGACAATTTCTGTCTGACTCAGAAATTTGTGATGAGGACAGTAAAATGAAGTTGTCTGGAGTCTCTTGGGGGTTAATCCTTTTGTCAATACAACATAGCAACTGTCTCCTATCTGGGTTCAAAGAGTTCAAAACTCGCCCTAGAGGAACCCCTGCAGCAGTGGAAAGGTTTCACTTGGGAGTTTCTGAGTTTTCTGGAACAGTAAGCAGAACCACTTTCCACTCACTAGGGGCCTCATGAGTGCCTGCAGGGTGCTGACACCAGGACTGAGACCGAGGCTTTTAAGGTCTAAGACATTTAGGACTTAATCATCAGATCCCAGAGGAGAGCTCATCCTTCTGAGCGGAACACTGGAAATGATTACTTGCCAGGGAAAAATAGCAGAAGGCATACCTGTGACTGATTCACATTGATGTATGGTAGAAAGCAGTGCAATATTATAAAGCAATTATCCTCCAATTAAAAAAAGAAAATAGCAGGCGGCTTCCCAGAGGGATTGGCATTTGATCTGGATGATGATGGTGGATTGTAATTCAGAGGGAAAGGAGAGGAAAAGGGGGAACATAAAGAAGTCAAGGAAAAGGGAGATTAACTCTGAGAACCAAACCAGGTGGATGTGTATTATCACATAATCTTCAGGAAAGCCTCAGGAGAAGGCCATCATCCCCACTTCACAGCTGGAGAAACCATGGCTCAGGAAAGTTAACTAGCATAAAGCAATTATCCGCTGGAGAGTTGGATTGAGGGGTGCAGCAGCCAGAAAACTGCTCATAAGTACAGTTTGTGTGCTTAGCCGCTCAGTCGAGTCTGAGTCTGTGACCCCATGGACTGTATCCCACCAGGCTCCTTGGTTCATGGGATTCTACAGGCAAGAATACTAGAGTGGGTGTTCCCTTCTCCAGGGCGTCTTCCAGACTGAGGAATCGAACCTGCATTTCCTGCACTGGCAGGTGTGTTCTTTACCACTGAGCCACCAGGGAAGCCCAAAATGCAATTTAAGTGTTACCAAAATGTCACTGTAAGTTATTTGTAAGAATACAGAGCAGTTACTTACCAGAACTATTACTGGGAAGTATAGTGTATGTGTTGGGAAAATAAAGAATTCATGAGCTAATTAGGGTGCTGATGTGGTCCAGATCCCCAGAGGCATGCTGGAATAGCTGGTTATCGAACTCCAAAGGAGGATATTTTCCTAAAACACTCAGGAGTGGCAGCCTTTTTAAGTGTTTAACAGATATTTGAAGACTATTAATTTAAAGGGGCCCAAATGACATATACCCAGACAACACTAATTCAAAAAGATACATGCTAGGAAAGATTGAAGGCAGGAGGAGGAAGGGCTGACAGAGGATGAGATGGTTGGATGGCATCACTGACTCATGGACATGAGTTTGAGTAAGCTCCGGGAGTTGGTGATGGACAGGGAAGCCTGGCATGCTGCCGTCCATGGGGGTCGCAAAATCGGACACAACTGAGCGACTGAACTGAACTGAACATGCACACCTATGGTCATAGCAGCACTATTCACAATAGCCAGGACGTGGAAACAACCTAAATGACCCACAGAGGACTGGATAAAGACAATGTGGGAAATATATACAATGGAAGTTACCCATAGAAAAGAATGAAAAATGCCATTTACAGCATCATGGCTGGACCTAGAGATTATCATACTAAATGAAGTATATCAGAGAATGACAAATACCACATGAAATCACTTATATGAGGAACCTGAAATAGGGCACAAATGAATCTATCTACAAAACAGAAACATACAGACATACAGAATAGACTTGTGGTTGCCAAGGAGGAGGGGGTTGGGGGATGGAAGGACTAGGAGTTTTGGGATTCACTAGAGGTAAACTATTACATACAGGATGGATAAACAACAAGGTCCTACTGTATAGCAGAAGGAACTGTATTCAGTATCCTGTGATAAACCATGTTGGAAAACAATATTTTAAAAAAGAGAATGTCTATGTGTGTATAACTGAGTCACTTTGCTCTACAGCACAACATTGTAAATCAATTATACTTCAATTTAAAAAATAAGATGAAATAATAGGCCCAAAAGAATAGTGTGTCCGGATACCCTACTTGTTCTGAGTGGTTACGGAAGAGTCAGTCCTATATATGCTAACTGTAGCATGCAGCTGAAACACAGACTGGCAGACAGACATATGGATAGACAGAAATGGAGAGGAATTCAATGGTGATTATAAACATTGTGCTTCACAGGTATGTCTGACAGTAACCCTAGTGTTGTGTTTCTCCAACTTTTATCCCAACCACAAAAGTTTCAGATAGTTTAAATCCTTTTGGGAACAAGATGAGAATGAGTGGACAATAGATCTCCACTGATAAAGAAATCGACCACCATGTATTTGTTATCCTCAGGAAATTACTACAATCAAGGGGAGATCCGTAAGAAGGAACTCTTGCAGAGCTGTGATGTTCTGGGGATTCCCCCCTCCAACGTAATGATTATTGAAAACAGGTAAATGTATCTTTTAACAATGTGGAAATTAAGTGGCAATAAATACACAGTGGTACACTCAAAAGACACAAAAGAACTCATGTGGGTGGGTAAGAACATTCTTATTTGAGAAGTTGCCCAGACATAGTTTCACATTTGTTTTCAAATGACAGTATAACGCAAATGAATTTTTTCAACTTCTGTTCAGATTTTGTCTTAAGATAGCTACTTCTTTAATCTTTAAAATAAAATAATAAAATATGTCAGAAGTGTAAAGAACAGTATTATGAACCCTCACATGACTGTTGTCTAAGGCCAGTAATTATCAAGCCTTTGCTATGTGTGCATCTATCCCCATACAATATAATATCTTTTGTGTGTGAAGTTTTAGGGGCTATTTTGCAGTTATAACTTAGCTGTGTTTTTTCTTTTTATTGGAGTATAGTTGATTTACAATGTTGTGTTAGTTTCTGCTGCACGGCAAAGTGAATCTGTTATACATATACACATATCCACTCTTTTTTTCAGATTCTTTTCCTATATAGGCCATTACAGAGTGCCCTGTGCTGTATAGTAGGTCCTTATATATTTTTATATATGGTGTGTATATGTCAGTCCCAGTCTCCCAATTTTTTCCTCCCATGTATGAAGTATTTTAAAGAAAACCCAACCATCAGGTTATTCTACCTTATGTACTTAGAGATAGATCTCTTAAGAAGATAGACTTTTTTTTCATGCAGCCACAACATCATTAGCAACCCATCAAACAAAATGGATAGTAATGGCAATTCCTTGGTTTCAAAATGGACACCCAGTCCATTTTGAGCTGCTTTCAGTAGCTCAAAAGTGTCTTTTCACAGTTGGTTTGTTCAAATCAGGATATAAACAAAGTGCACACATTATAGTTGGTAGATATGCTTCATATCCCTTCCCCCTCCCAATGTCATTGATTGTTGAAAAAATTGAGTCAGTCGTCATGTAGAAAGACTTGTCTGTCTACTTCCTCGTGGTATTGCCTCAGTGGTTGTTTTAGCCTCTGTATTTCTTGCAAACTGGAAACGAGCACTAACTTTCAGGGACCAGAAGCCGTACCATATCCTCCCCATTCCATCATTTCAGGAGACGTGTACTGTCTCACTTTCAGTGATCCTACAATCAGTTGGTGAGTTTACGTGGTAACAGCCATTCCTTTTCATTGTAAAGACCCACATCAACCTTTCATGTAGTGCTTTCATGATTAGTAATCATTAATTAAGTAGAGATTGCAAAATGGTAAGTCTCTAAATATCTCCCGAGTTCCAAATATACCAGCTATAATTCTTCTATAAAGCAGAACTTTATCAACTGGGGCTATTTAGTTACCCTGATATATATAGTTTGACTCCAAAAGACAAGCCAACATGCTTCTTTCCCTTTTGTCACCATTTTCAGAATAGAAGTTGATCCCCTATGTACCTGCACCAGTAATCAGTTACTTGTTGGTTTGTTGGATGGGGCACTCAGGAACTTACATGTTCAGTTTGTCAGTTTAAATCATTATGCTCTTTGATACTGCAGTCATCTCCTCTTTGGCCATTGAGCCTTTTCATGTTGGTGCATATGTCCTTTTGTTAAGAAATTAAGAACTTGACTTAATTTATTATACTTTTTATATATCCAAAAGATTGTGCAGCTTCAGCAACATCCCCTACTTGTAAGACGCTGCTTGGAAGAGGAGTCATAAACTTGTTAAAAATAAATAATTCCACAGCCAGTTTGAAGATTCAAGGAAGCCAGATGTCTTAGTCTGCTCAGGCCACCGTGGCAAAATACCAGAGTCTGGGCAGCTTAAACAACAGAAATATTTTTCTCTCACAATTCAGGAGGCTGAAAGTATAAAATCAAAGTATAGCAGGGTTGATTTCTGGAGAGGGTTTGCTTCTTGGCATGCAGATGGCCATCTTCTCCCTATCTGCTCACAGAGGGGAGAGGGAAGTTTCTCTCTTCCTCTTCTTACAAGGCCACAGTCCTATAGGGTTAGGGCCCACTATTATGACCTCACTTAACCTTGTGCGCGTGCGTGCTAAGGTCACTTCAGTCATGTCTGACTCTTTGCAACCCTATGGACCATAGCCTATCAGGCTCCTCTGTCTGTGGGGATTCTCCAAGCAAGAATACTGGAGTGGATTGCCATGCCCTCCTCCAGGGGATCTTCCCGAGCCAGGGATCGAACACAAGTCTCTTATGTCTCCTGCGTTGGCATGTGGGTTCTTTACCACTATCACCACCTGGGAAGCCCCTCACTTAACCTTAATGACCTCCTAAAGACCCCATCTCAAACTACAGTCATATTGGGGATTGAGGCTTCAACCCTCAGATTTGCGGAGAATACAGTTCAGTCCCTGGCAGCATGCAGTTTTCAGTCTTTCAGCCTCTAGTTTCCTAACCCAGCAATGCAGAGCTCTGGAATCCTGCTCTGGTTTATTTAGACGAGTCAAAGGGAAGGATGAAGGGGACGAGGAGAAAAGAAAGTTTCATGGTGGGCCCACATTCAGAATAATCATGGTAACTATACATTCAACTCACTCAGTGCCAAGGACCTCGCTAAACACATGATCTTACTTAATCTTGAAAATAATCCAGCTATGTCCCCAGGTTATAGATGAGAAACAGAGGACTAGTGAGAGGCTGAGTCATCTGCCTGGGGTCATCCAGCTGACACTGGCAGAGCAGGTCTTGCAGCCGAGGCCATCTGGTCACTGTGCTCTGACTCCTCCAAGCCTGACTCTCAATCGCACAAAGGTCACCGTGTTCAATTCTTCAAATGACTGTACAAACACAGGTTTTTTAATGATCCTTTTTTAGTTTCACACAAAGAAACTGAAGCTTAAGAGACTCCTCTGAGGTCAGACGTTTAATAAATGGCAGTCAGTGCTAGGATTCTGAAGCAGAAAGGAAGACAGAATTTATTCCTGACTTTCTGCGGGAAACTAGGTCACCACTTTGTTAGTGTAAGCGAACCACCAACATGTGCTTAAGAGAACATCTGACGTTGTGTACTGTCAGTGCTTTCTTCCATTGCTCTGAACTTCATGGCTGGATTCCAATGAGGCATTTAGCCAGAGGAGCTCACCTAAGTAAGCCCCTTAGCCAACCCCTAAAAGAGAGAAAACAGTTCCATTTTCAAGAGGAGGCATCTAAGTCATTAGACAACTAAGTGGATACTCTTGGTCACCTTACCCAGTTCCTTAATACTTGTAGGTTCTGCTAATTTAATGAACCATGTGATGTTTAAATGAATGTTATTAACAGATACAGATTAAAGCTCCTGGAATGGGCAAGGTGCCGTGCTAGAGGCTGAGGAAAAAGAACAGTTCAAGGTCCAGGAACTGGATAATGGGTGTTGGCCTGATAGGCACCGCTGCTGTGTTTGCAGAAACAGTAGTTGTGCACGTGCTGAGGTTCAGGCTAGAAAAGGGCTTAGAGACCCTCTCCCGGACACTTGTGAACTGAATGTGACTGAGAAATGCAGCCTACAGACTGAGTATTCATTTGTTGCTTTTGTACTGGAGTCCATAGAATTGTTTCATTTACATTTCAAAACAAAAAGTAAACACACATTTCTGTATGTATATTCTAAAAGAACACACACCAGACTTGTCAATAGCAGCTGCTCTTTAGTTGGGCCAGGGAAGGAAGGACTCTAGCACTTCTTAATTTCACAGAATTCTGTACAGTTTTATTTTGCTTTTTTTTCTTTTAAAGGAAGCCTGTATTACTTTTTATTTATTTATTTTTTCTGTATTACTTTTTTTTTTTTTCTGTATTACTTTTTAAAGTACAAGCAGACTTCAAAGATACTGCAAGTTCAGGCCCAGACCACTGCAATAAAGCAAGTCAATAGGAATTTTTTGGTTTCCCAGTGCATATAAAAGTAACGTCAACACTATACTGTAGTCTATTAAGTATGCAATAGCATTATATCTAAAAAAAATAACATACATACCTTAATTGAAAAGTAGATATCATCTGAGCCTTCAGCCAGTTGTAACAATAACATCAAAATCACAGACCACATATCACCATAACTAATATAATAATGAAAAAGTTTGAAATATTGCAAGAATTACTGAAATGTCACACAGATACACAAAATAAGCAAATGTTCTTGGAAAAATGGTGCCAGTAGTAGACTTACTGTCACAGGTCCACAACCCTTCAGTTCATTAAAAATGCAGTATCTTCGAAGCACAATAGTGAAGTGCAATAAAATGATTATATATTTTTAAAGACTACTACTACATGACTAATAAAAATTCTTCCCTCTGTACTCAGCTTCTATCCATATAAGTGAAGGCTAAATTAGAAACAATTCTGTATACATTTTGGTAAGTTCAAAGCATAGAGTCCCTTGAAAAGACAGTAATGCTTTTTAAGCCTTTTTATAAACACTGTGGTCTTCTCAGGGCCTCATTCTGAAGGACCAGTGGGCAGAGGGTCAGATATGCTGCTCCAAAGGGCTTAGCCTGGAAATGGGGAGGGGTTTAAGGGGGGCTTCCCTGGTAGCTCAGATGGTAAAGAATCTGCCTGCAATGCAGGAGACCCAAGTTCGATCTCTGCATCGGGAATATCCCCTGGAGGAGGGCGTGGCAACCCACTCCAGTATTCTTGCCTGGAGAATCCTCATGGACCGAGGAGCCTGATGGACTACAGCCCATGGGATTGGAGAGTTGGACACATCTGAATGACTCACACACACACACACACACACACACAGATTGTAATGAAATAAAACAAAGTAGACCTTCCAGTCGTAACCAGGCCCATAAAAACTCATCAGGGCCCAACAACCAACCATTGGGAGAAACTTTTGGGGTCTCAGAGCTGATCGTGATCTGATCTCTGCTCCTAGTATCCCATACCTGCTGTACCCACATCACATCTATTCCCACCACAAAAGTGGAGGATTCCCAGCACCCCAGTCGGTTCTTGTATGCAAGTCAGGCTGCAAACACACCAACCTTTCTTCTGCATCCACACTC